CTGGCCACATGACATGTATTCCAGCTCCCTCGGCCAATAAAGCGAGATGAGTGCTGCAACCCCAGAGTCGGCCACGGCTGGACCTAATGGTCAGGGGTCCCTTCACCTTCAGGAGACGTTGGGCTCATGCTTTGCCTCACCCCCGGTTCTGCTTAATTGGCTGCTGCTCATGGAGCTGGGGCAAAGAAACTCAAGAGCATCAACATCACATGTCTTCTGCTAGACATTAGCAGAGAAGAAACATGGTTCCTAAACAGCAAGTCAAGGGATCTAGTTTCCAGCCCATACTTTTATATTTATATATTGTACACTTCCATTTCTTCTTCATGCCACAGTTTAAGATAGTGCCACAACTTCTCAAAGTCTTCCTGTAGCTCTTAGGTTTCCTTAAGATGTCCATTAAATAGTGAACACTTGCTGACCCTCAGAATAGAATTGTAGAGTTGGAAGGACCCTGAGGATCATCTAGTCCAACCCCCCAAATTGAAGGAATCTTTTTGCCCAATGTGGGTCTTGAACCCACGACCCTGAGATTAAGACCTACTGAGCTATCTGCTAAAGAATAAAGCTCTGCCCTTTTTGTTTGATTCTGGGCCAGCCCTTTGGGGTAAAGTGAGGTTCTTGGTTACACATAAATGCAAACTCCTATCCAAAAGGGACTTGCATGACTGAATGAAGAAGTCAGACCCAAACAATTGAGCCACACAAGTCTCTTTTTGGAAAAGATCTCCAGCGTTGCAGTTAACAATTAACACATCAGCATGATTGGAATTACCTTTTAAGTCATTTTACAATTAAATTTGGCTATAACAATCAGATGAAAGAAGCAGCTAGTTTTAACATTCAAATTATCAGTTGCTTGTGTGATATCTTTGAATCCTAGCCGTTCTGCCTAAGAACTCTTTTCATAAGAGAATTTTAATTGGGTTAGAGAGGAATAAAGCCAATACTGTTAATTGCATGGGGAGAAGAAAACCCTATTTCAGTAAGCTGGGGAAAAACAAATATGAAACTCCCCCCCCCCCCCGTATAATTACTGTAAGGAATAACTATTCATCACTGCGATGTTTTGGCGTTAGCATGCTTTAATTATAAGGAACATAGCAGTGCTGATTCTAACTTCTAAATGCTAGTTTTCAGTAAATGTCGCAGAAGATGTTCTCGGGACTGGGAGGTGCAGGAAGAAAGTCTCTGTTGTCACCTCCCCCCTAAAAAATGATCTACCTTGCATTTCTCCAAGTTACTGGACAAGTTGTGGTGGCCCATGGGTAGGGAATTAAATGGGACCTGGCTGAATGTATGTAGGAATGTACAGGTAGTTCTCAGGCTCAGTGCTAGATCAGAGCCCTGCATACAGAACTTCCAGGTTAAAAGCCTTGGCACAGGTGGTGATGGTAGAGCTATTTGCTTGACACTCCCAAGAGCTGATGTGAGTCAGAGTAGACAGCAGCCTGACCTATCACAAGCCAACTTCCTACGTTTCTGTCCCTGAACTGCAATCTTTATGGAGTGGAAGAGAAACCGGATCAGTCAAATCACATGTACATTCCTACTCATCATCATCCAGACCTCCTTCAGTGGGAGTGTCACCCCATCAAGAGCAGGCAACCTCTCATCCATCCAGTCTAGGGAACCACCCACGAACAGGGCCTCAGTCTTATTGGGGCTGAGCTTCTGTGTAGAAGAAATTCCTTTTGCTATTCAGGGCTAGCCCTACCATTAGGCAGAATGGGGCGTCTGCCTCAGGCAGCAGACTTTGGGTGTCACGAAAGAGCAGCAAGTTATGAAGTTGTGTTTTTTTTTACTGTATCACTATTTATTGCCTTTCTTTTTCTCCTAGGAAATGGGAGAAGCGTTTTGGGGATTTTCTGATTCAGGTGCCAAAATCGGATACCATGCACTTTGATTTGGAAGGAAGGGGTGCTATTTCCCTTCTGCCACAAGTAGCAAAATATATTGGGCCAGCTTTGCTACTGAAGCACGTGGAAGCAACATTCATTTCCCTGAGCAGCCTTTGTACATGTGCTTCTTCTTCCCCAAACAATCATACCTACCCCCTCCCAAAAATATCCCCATTAAACTTAGTACAAATTGCACAATCATATAAGTGGACAAGCCACAACACAGTGACATTCTGTTCTGATGTAGCAATAGGCTGGCCAGCCACATACTGGCTTCCAGGGCTATATAGAAACAAATCTGAGCAACCCACAGGCTACTTTAGGATAAGGTAGTGCTGACTGTGGATTTGCTGTCCTTAAACGAACCGAGCAATTACTGTATCACCTAAATCACAGCAGAGGGCCAGCAGGTCAGATGTATCTTATATTCTGTGAAAAATCAACTGAGAAGTTCTCCCGTGCAAGGATGAGACTTGGTCCTATTTAGTGGGGACTGGTGAAGGAGACATTATGTTCTCTTACAGCTGAGAAAGGGCACCTCCTTAAAAAGAAAAGTTATGGGCAGTAGAAGAGGAAGTAAACATCCTTCTTAAAATCAGTTTAATAGTGTGTCCATCCTTCACTGTTTAATAGTGTCCTGATATGCTCCTCAAAGCCTTTGTCATTATAAGAAGTCCCCTTTGTTTTGTAGATTACTTCCCTTACTCAGAATTAAGACTGAGGACAAGAGAATATGAGCTTGGGCAGGGTTATGTTATGTCTGAACTTGGAATTAAACTCTAGTTTCAAGATGGCACTGGGTTATGCCAGTTTTCCCAGTTAGTCCTGTTAGTGGCATTTGAGAACTACTACTTTTCAGTGCTATGATCCAAAAGCGTCCTAGATTTGCACATACAATAGTTCTTAAGGACTTCCTTTCCCTTTGACCTGTCTCTTACTTCTTCACGCCAGTTCCTAGTGCTCTTTGTCACAGGACTCGCTTGTAACCAACTACATACAGCCATCTTGCCATCCTTACCAAATGATGCATGAGCCAGTAGGGAAAGCATGCACAAAATGTGGCACCACCTTGGATGACACCATGCTTTTAGGAGCACTCATTAAATCTGATTAACGAGATGAACTAAGCAATGTGTTAGAAATTCCAGCACCTCTTTCATATTGTTTAATGTCTCTGTGGCGGTAAAAGTTTTCCTCCTGGCGCGCTCTGCCTGCCTTTTTCATTTCTACTTTTATGTCTTGCCTCAAGAACTAATCCGTTCCTTAAAACTGGGGCAGCCCTTTGGGGCGTCTCCTGTGGTTGGTTTATAGCTTGCCGCATGAGGATTTTATTCCTAGTATCTGAGGTTGCTTTGTTTTTAACCTACGACACTTTGTAGTGGCAACAGCGGGGCTGCCAGTATCTCTTAAAACCTTGGGAAAATCCTTGGTAAGTTATGCAGGTTTGAAACAGCCAGATTTAAAAGCACAGAACTCTAAAACAGTAGATTTACAAACCCAAAGGCCTAAAAATGAAGGCTTTTTCTAACAGTGGAACTGAGCTGGGAAGTTGGATAAGCTCAAGTCACAGAACAAAGGAGCCACTCGCTATGCTTATCTGTGTCTCTGTGAAAAAGGGGAAGGCCTGCAAAAGCAAGTAGGGGACTGTGTGATGTAAGCAGATATGTTCAACAGCCACATTGAGTGATGTCCTATATAGTGGTACCTCGGGTTACATACGCTTCAGGTTACATACGCTTCAGGTTACAGACTCCGCTAACCCAGAAATAGTACCTCGGGTTAAGAACTTTGCTTCAGGTTAAGAACAGTTTCAGGTTAAGAACGGACCTCTGGAACGAATTAAGTACTTAACCCGAGGTACCACTGTATTCATTGAACATAGCTGCTTTTTTATACTCTTGCTCAAATGTGTATGAATGGATGGATGATGACAGCTCCAGATGGTCATCACTTCCTTACGGATAACTCAAGCTTTGTTATGAAGGCACCTCTGGTGGGTTCAGTTGCTTTCTGGAGAGTTTATGCCAGCAAGGCTGAAGTTCAGAGATAATAGAATCTGCAGTCTAAAATATCTGGACGACACTAGGTTAGGAAAGACTGGTTTATGCTGGTTGGAACATAAGGCTAGGCTACACCGAGCTTTAGTACTTCCTTGTAGTAGGAACCTTGAATTCTTGCAATACCTCTAGTAAAATGTCAATTCTGCCATGCCGGTGTGAACAGTTACCCTTTTACTTGGCAAGTTGCTTGGACTCTTTGGTTCTTGAATAAGGTGAATGAACCCCAGAGTGCAGGTCTCAGGACTGCATGATGCTGGTAGTCTCTTCTAGAGGGTTGCAGACTCCCATCAACCAGACACCTTGTGCTTCAAATCCATGGGCAGCCATTTAGGGAGACATGGCAGTCAAGGGCATCTGAGTGAGCTGATCCAAAGAAGTGGGTGCAGAGACCTGGTGGGTCCTGTAACCTCTTAGCAACTCACCATCTATGAGAAGCACAAGCTATTGATGTGATGTGAATTATGGAAGCTGCTGTGTATCATATCAGTTCATCACTGGTCCAGGAGAATAGGAAATAGGACCTTTGGAGAGTCCTGAGAAGCATGTCTTCTATTTTCTTTACTTTAGACTTTATGGCTGAAAAGATTAGATATGTGTATGGGACTTCTTTTTTAAAAAAGAAAGATGTGGAAAACACAAGTTCTGCCTTAAGGTTTTTGTCTCGTTACATCCCAGGCAGTGGTCAGGATCACTATGCACAAATCTCTTTCTCCCTATGCATGATCTTATTCATCTTTGCATTCTTGCAATCCTCAGCTTTCCTTTTGCCTCCCAAGTAAGCTCTTTACTTATTGCCAAAGTCCCCCTTTAACAGGCCTTGAGAAGCTAGTGTGACAATCAATTCATGATCTGTTGGTGCCATTTCTGAACACTCAAAAAATGGTCACAAGGATCCAGGCCTGCTTATGTTTTTAATGCACCTGAGTTTACATCTTACTGTGTTGCAGATTTTAGCAGGACTTTTTCTTCAGGTTACTGTTGGTGGTCCCTTCCAACTCTACAGTTCTGGGATTCTAGCGGCATTAGATGTGTTCAGAGCATGGGATCTTCTGGGAAGCAGAGTCTGCTGAGTACACCTGTTTTGTCTTATTGCCTCTACGTCCTGCACATGCTCAAGGAGAATTTAGAGAACAGAGCACTCATGTGTGTCATTTCCTTCAAAATGGAATGTAGTATGTACTTGCAACAATCTTTGTTAGGAGTTTCGACTTGCAAGTACGATATTCTTCTACTTGCCTCACTATTCTAAAATGTAGCTGTGCAGTTACCCTGGCACAGTTTGTGGTCTGTGCCAATATGATGGGAGATATGTGCCAATATGATGTGAGAGCCAGTGTGGTGTAGTGGTTAAGGGCGGTAGTCTCGTAATCTGGGGAACCGGGTTCGCTTCCCCGCTCCTCCACATGCAGCTGCTGGGTGACCTTGGGCCAGTCACACTTCTTTGAAGTCTCTCAGCCCCACTCACCTCACAGAGTGTTTGTTGTGGGGGAGGAAGGGAAAGGAGAATGTTAGCCGCTTTGAGACTCTTTCGGGTAGTGATAAAGCGGGATATCAAATCCAAACTCTAGAAATACTCATAGGCTGCAGATGGAGAAACTGAAGTGGAAAAAAAAATGATTAAGTGACTTGCTTGGGACAACAGCTAAAGTTACAGGACTGGCTTTCTCTTGTTTCCATGGGAGACAGAGCCATCCTGGGTGACCCCGCTCATTTCTTTCTTGAATGGTCTGCTTTTTCCCCCCTCTCAGGTGTAGCTGACGACGAAGCTTTTGCAGAGGAATGCAGACGCAGAGGACAAAACGCCTTGCCTTTCCAGCCGGCTAATGCCCGTTCTCCAAAATCGGCCCTGAAGCCTGCTGCCTACCCCAAGCATACCTTTCACTGTAATAGCGATGAGGATGATGACTTGGTTATGACCAACTGGGAGACGCCCATTTATTCATCAGGTGTGCACAAAAAGGTGACGCAGGAACCGGTAAAAAGGCAGGAGCCAGTGCTAAAGCAGGAGCCCGTAAAAAAAGTCACGCCACTTAGCCAGAAGCCTAAGTCAAAGAACCCAATAAGATCGCGTTGCTGCATACTGATTTAAGGCTAACATTTCACATGCTCTATTCCTCTGCATTCAGACTAGCTTCAGGACTACGTTGCCCTGCCCGTTTTCAGAAGATACCCAAATAAAATTCATTGCCTGTGCCAAATCGTGCATACAGCTCACAGCAAACAGCAGAACTGTGTTTAGTAGCTGACACGTTGCTTGCTTTCCTTGTTCCGAATGCAGGTTTCTAGTAGCCCGGATAGATTTTGTTCTTTGCACTGTCAGGTAACTAGATTTTCAAACTTTTGAGGCCTGGTGGAATCTCCTTGGCAAAATGGCTTGCCCTCCTCCTCCTCCTTGTTTCCTTTAGCCAAGTATATGTTTAGCAAGGGCTGACATAAGCAGCAGCCCGTTCATCGTTTTGCTCATTTCAATCGGTGCCAGATCCAAAACGTCTAATTTGCAGATTAATACTGCAAGATTCACATTTCCCTTGGTATCCAGTATTAACAAGCTCCTTAATGTGAATAATCCATTGTTCATACCCTATTTGTTTTTTACCGCCTGCCGTCATGGGAGACGCAAGTGCACTAAGTTGCTGATCCAGTCTGTTTCATGTGCTTACTAAAACGAGAAGCTGCGGTATTGTAGCTTAGTAACTGCACAGCTGAATTTTTAGGTGCCCCCCCCCCGCTATGGCTTAATTTCAGAACCAGTTTTGGGAAACTATTTTCAGGAAACCTCAGTTCACCATTGCCAGGGGGTCACTCCCCACTTTCCACACTTCTTTGAGTGCCAACACAAGCAAAATGAACACAAACTGAGGAGAAATGACGATGTGAGGAAGATTTCACATAGCATGGTTTTTAGGTGCACACCTAAAGTGGGGGGGGGGTTGTATCCAAAGGTTTTCTCAGGTGGAAGGAGGGAGGGACTGTTTGGATCCAACCCACAACAAACCCCTGTCTCACAAAGGGAGGTGTGTGGAGGAGCCAGGATTGGCAGGCTCAAGTTGCCTTGTGTAATATGAGAAACTACCCTGAGTGTAGAAGTTCCAGGGTGGGTTGTGTTCACCTAGTCCCCGGCAGAATAGAAAGGGAAATGTCTTTGGGTCTTTCCTTGCTATGGCAGGCAGCACAGCCAGGTGGGGTGAGTTATCCTCTCCCGTGTTGCTCCTTGCCTGCAGGCAATTCTAGCCTCAAGCATCTTATTCATCATCCCTGCTTGTGGCATTCTGCAGTCTGGGAAAGGCGGATATGAACTTGCAGAAACCTGCTTTATGGCAAGGTTTGGCTGGGATGACTCTTTGAGGGCTTCCTTTCCGCTCCCATGACCCATGGAGACCAGAATCGAGAGCGGGGACCACCTTGGGAAGCTTTCATGGTGCAAACTTAGGAAGCGTGAAACAACCGAGAGGGAAACTCTTGATGGCTTAAAATTAAGCACTAAAGTCACTTGTCAATAGGTTGCAAAGGGCTGTCATTTTGGGGCCCTCAAACCTTTTGCCCGTTTCCCTCCCGTTGCTTCTGAGGCCGTTGATACGCCAGCCTTAATGGCCATGGATGGTCTCCTACTAAGTTCAGAGTAGATCCACTTAACGTTAGTCATTTCTGTTTGTTTCAATGGATCTACTCCCTGTCTGACTAGTGCTGATACCGCTCCATGTTTTCTCCTGATACTGCACGTATCAAGGATGCGTTGTGGTCTGGGCTGGCATGTGAGCAGGTGCTGAACAGGTGAGGAAACTCCTGGTAACAGGAAGCTGACCTTCCCCACAACTTGAGTAACTCTGCTTCGACGGCTAGTCAATTGCAGGACGCAGGTTTTTTTTGAAGTGGCTCTTTGGAATAACACGAAAGAGGGGTCTGCAGCTGCAGCAGCTACGCCGTTGTCTTGCTGTTGTTTGTAATCTGACAACGTAATATCGGAGCCATCTGTGCTTTTTGCTTTGCAAGTAAAACGGGGGCTGTCAAATCCCCACCCATCTCCCGCAGACTAGGGCCCATCATTTTAAAATGCTAGACATAGTGCAGTTTGAACACACCAGGGAGCGCATGTGATTGAGGTAAAGTTCCATGCTTTTTTTAAGGGACCAGAGGCTATCAGATGTCAGATTCAAAAATTACAATGCTTCCTCGTTTAAAATCTTTGCATCTTTTTACAAACTTTGTTCGATCAGGTAAGTATCACTATTCCCTGTACTGTGCATGGCAGAGACAAGAAAGTTGCCAAAAATAGACTTCAGCACTGGTCAACTTTTCCCAGCATCAGTTATGGGGTGGGAGGTAGGGTGCATTGGGTAGTGTGCATAGATGCCTTGCATCCAGCAGGTCCCAGATTGAGTACCTGGCATCTCCCATGAAAACTGATCTCAGGAGCAGGAAGGTGTATCTTGAAGCGTAGTGTGGATGTGCTTGAAGAGCAGCTGCCGGTTGAAGTATACAGTGCTGGACGACATAGACCAGTGGTCAGATGAAGATCCTTTCATATATTCTATGAATCATGTTGCTAGAACTCTAGTACTTCTCGCCCCATTGGGTCCTCACTTCTTTGCTGAGACAGACACCTGTGCAATTTTGTCTCTCCTGTGAGATCCAACGGTTGGTTGTAGCCTTTTTTGTGGAAGTACCAGCTTACGTTGTCAATATTTACCCCCTGTTGGCAACCTGGTGATCCACTTACAAGGCTCCTGCTAATGGGCCCTCACTGTGATTTAGGAGTCTTGCGACTGCCTTTGTTGGGTTCATACTGTCTCTGAATGAGATCGTATGTTCTGCATCAGGGACAACTGTCCCTAGGATGAGCGATACCTAACTTGCAATAGTTTGTCCCCCTAGTTAGGTAACTGACTGAACTGGTAAATGGCGGTAGTTATGAAAAACTGATTTGAGCAGCTCCCCCATTTTTGGAGTAGCAAAAAACTGAATTTGAACCCAGTGAATAATTTCGACCTTGGATACGAGAGAAGAGAGTGCCCGTTGGTAGGTAGTGCTCAAAACTGTCGGTGGCTCCCTTTTGGGCTGGATATTGCCCACCAAAAAAACCCCTATCTGGTCTCCTGTTTACCCTACCAAATTTTAACCAATGCAATTAAACCTGCATTTTCCTTGTAAGGACAAGAGGGTGGTTTCTCAGTGTTTTATCTCTTGGGTTTTCTATGCAATTTCCCCATTAAAATAGTTTGTCAAAGAGTTTAGAAACAGAGCAACCACTGTCCACGGAGCAGCCTTCACATGTCATGGCAGGTGATTTCAGCTCTAAATAATTGGTTGCACTAGAGATTTCTGTAGAATTCAAATGGAAAACTACCTGTTTCTGCATAATTCAAATGGAAGCTCACTTATTCCAGGCAGGGTTGCTTCCCCACCTGCACCAAATGTTTGGCTTGCCTCCTGGTACAGGGCAATGCATTAAACTGCTGTAAGTATATCATGACCCAAGTATTCTAGTGCAGGTTAGTCTCCTGTCGACTTAAGCACTATAACTGCTTAATCCCCATTGAAATGAGCTAGTGCTCTTTGCGTTGTATGCTGTCCCACTTCTGCAAACAGTACAGATAATTTAAAATACCCGTCCACCCCATCATTTAAACTTGTACACATTTGATAAGAAAATAAACAAGGCCATCCCGAATTCCTTTGAATGTTTTGTTAACTCTTTCCCAAGTTTCAAAGGAATGCCTTCAGAAACAAGGCACAGTGATGACCTTAAAACAGCCTTTAAAAACTGGTAGGGTTGTTAAAAGCCAAATTAACAAGGTAAGACTTCTTTCGACAAAAGTTTTCAAAACTTCAACTGATGACAGGCAGGGTTGCTCTGAAATAGGACCGAGTAGATCACAGGAGAAGGGAGGGAGCTAAATCACAACCTAGCCTGCAGTTTTTGAGAGGGAGGATCCAATGGAAGCAAAAAGGGCCATTTCAGTTAACAAGATAGTTAAACTATATTGCATTGATTTAGGGCTGGACAAGGCAGTCCTTTTTGTTGTTGTTTTTTTGACTCACAGGTGCATAGTAGACAATCTCGTCAAGACCTAGCCATAGCCTTTAGAGATATTTACAACAGGGAACTCTTCAGATGATGGATAGAGTGCCTCTGAAGTGAAGGCTAATGGGAACTTTCAATATGGCCAGGAGGCCTTTGCACTAAGCCTATGGCCGGTGGTCACCTTTTGGAAGTAACTTTACATGTGGAGAAGCTAACTTTGGTAGGCCGACTGTTAAGGAAATGTGAGAGACCTGGGAGGAACCTTGCACTTGCTGAAGACATGTGCTTGTGCTCCTCAGGGGAGACCTGCCTTGCATTTTCAAAAGGCTTAAAATCAGAATGCTTCTGCTTTAATGAAGGGAAATCTATATGCACAATGTTTTACCAGCCGTGTCTCCTCAGGATACAAAGAAGTCAGCAAGAGGAAGAAGCAGAAGCTGAGGGAGGAGCAGAAGAAGAAGAAGTCAGCCAAGGCACCCTATTAAAATGGACTTCGATGCCCCCCAGCACAGACCCTTTCGCTGTCACACCACTTGACCCCACCCACACTCCTTTCCTGGTGCTTATATTTTCTTACGGCTAATCTCACTTAGCAAGGGGGGGGGAGAGACTATGGCTCCTCTCTAAAGTACACTAAACTTGCACTATTATGCTTGAGCATCACAGATTTGCTTGAGTTTCTGTATGACCCCCCTGTCAGAAACCCGCTCCACGGAAGTCACTTCCATTGAAATCAGTGGGTTTGGCTTCTGAGCAGTGTGTTTAGGATCAGGGTGTCCGATGCATCAGATAAGCAGATCCTGGCTTGAAATGTGTTTTATTTTCGAAAAAAGAAAAATAATAATAATGTGGTAGAACCTTTTCAACCTCTTTTCCTTCCTGGGGCTAAAGCTATCGTAGTCTAGTGTGCTTCTTCTAGAACTTAGAAAGGTTGTAAGCGATGTGTCTATATTTCCAAAAAAACAAACGGTTTTCATCATGGGATATTCTGACCTTAATATGTTTCTCATTTCATATGACCTCAGTTTTCCTTAGCTGGACTCCCCCATAATGACTGAGGATCAGTTCTCGGGATATTCAGCCCTGCATCTTATTTTCCACAGGGGAAGAAGCAGTTGATTTTCCTTGCTTGCATGTGCCATTATTGATGTGCTATGTATCATAAGCAGTGGGCCATGATTGTGAGAGAGCAGGTCCCCCCATAAGCTTCTTATTGAAATCAACCCTTGTGAGTTCATTATGATCCCCAGAACTCTCTCGAACCAAATAATAAAAGGCATAGTTTGAAATACTACCCTATGTCCATTGCCCGAAAATCAGTAGCCTTGATGATGTGTTCATGCCAAGTAGAGCGAGGGTCACATCACCCCGCCTCACCTGCCAGAAATCGCCCCTCTTCCTAGGGTGGCATGTGAGGCTATACAAGGGTAGGGTGGAGCCTTGACTAGCCGGAAAGAGCTTACGGCCTGTATTCCTTGGTCAGATCTAGAATACGTATTTGTACATTGGGTGTATACAGTGTGTGCTGGTTCCCATTTGGTCTAAATTGGAGTTGAAGGGGTGAATTAAGGAGTTGGATGTAGCAAGGCAACTTCATTCCCCTCCATATAAATGTTTCATTTGCATGGTACATGGCTTCTGTTAACCTCATAAATACTACTAAGTTGGAGCCTTCCATTCCTTTAACTTTTCCCAAGCATGGTTACTGTATAAGCAAGTTGCCTCCTTGCTGCTTAATCCGCGATTTGAAGTTCTCAGCTGCTTTGGTCTCCTGTGTGTTCTCCCCTCCCTTCTCTCCCTGATAAATTATGTGGCAATTCTCTTCCTTGGCACTGTTGGAAACCCCAAATTTCCTGGAGAAATCGTTGATTAGCCCCCCTAATAATGTATCTTAGGTCCAGGAAGATTAGGATGCAAGAGGATTTGGGGTACTTACTTGGATTAATCTTTAATGCTGGTATTATGAAAATGTAATCTTGTGCAACTCATTAGGTATTTAAAACACAATATGTCTGAAGTTTGATGCAGAACCACCACCCCCCACTTTTTGTTACATGAATACCACTGATTTGTGTCGTGCCGTGTTACTAATATTTAAAGAAATAAAGCAAGTTCCCCATTCCTTGAGTTTTTATTTTTATTTGAACAGCGCAAAGAATGGACTTCTGACACACACACACATATATATAAAAGTCAGGATGCTAAACTAACTCAATGGAAGTTTCTGCAAAGAGGGGATTTTTGCCTCGCTAACAAGATGAAGGGTGGATTTATAGCTCTCAGTAGAAATGTATATTAATTGGAATTGCTTCTGAGGAGGTAACGAGAGACAGCAGGCGAGGACAGAAGAACAGATAGCTTAAGTCTGAGAAACACTCTAAAAACCTTAATGTTACACACATACAGAGAGAGAGATTTATCCACACAATAAATATAATCACATAACAATTTTAGAATCTATCCAAATATATTCTCAAACACTTTAATAATATGTAGTGCCACCTTCATGCCATATGTAAATTACAATTTCAATATACCATTTTTGAAAATTGGAATGTTTTACTGCACACATTTTCTGTGATTATATTTCTTGGCTGAATAAGTTTGTGTGTGATTGCCTGAAATGGTTTTATACTAGGTTTTTTATTATTATTTTTATCTTGATTTTTAGCTCTCTGTTCCAAAAGATGCCAACGTGACTGTTGTTCTTACGGGCTACAGAAATAAGTTTAAGAACCTAGTGACTCTGTTTCTCACTTACTGGAGCCCAAGAATGGATTTCTCGATGACACGTTAGGTGCCACCGGCCAAGGGAATTTCTGGTGTGCTGGGCTTTAATTTAAAGTCCAATAAAAGGCCCTGGGGAAATTTGATTGTGTAGGTCTCGCTTCATTCACAGCCTGGGCCTTGCTCGAGATGACTGGAACTGTTGATTTTTGCCACCTTGGGTGCAGCATCCCATTAATAACCACTTGGGGATCATATAGGTCCATCGTGGCTGCAGGTGGTCTGGGCTATGCCCACAACTTGAATGCAGCCCCCATAAGATAGCCTAGGAGAGAATGCGGCCTTTGAATGGGGAAACGTTATCCACCCTTGTTCTAAATCAGGCATAGGCAAACTCAGTCCTCCAGATGTTTTGGGACTACCAATTCCCATCATCCCTGACCACTGGTCCTGCTAGCTAGGGATCATGGGTCAACATTGATGCCGAAACCCAGCATCACGTGAGCTCTGCGAGTGCGGCTTTCTCCCGATTGAAGTGCAGAGTGTTTGAGAACCGGGACCTTCGCAGGGAAACCAAAACACTTGTTTACAAAGCTATTGTACTACCAACCTTACTGTATGCTTGTGAAACATGGACCACTTATAAACGCCACCTCCAACTTCTCGAAAGATTCAGTCCACGGTCTGTCTGAAAAATCTTACACATCACTTGGGAAGACAGGTGAACTAATACCAGTGTACTGGATGAAGCAAAGATCACCTGATTCTTCAACATCAACTTCATTGGACTGGTCATGTTCTGCGGATGCCTGATTATCGTCTTCTAAAGCAACCACTCTATTCCAAACTTAAAAACGAAATGTGTAATGCTGGTGGTCAACAAAATAGATTTAAAGACTGTCTCAAGGCCAATCTAAAATGTAGTATAAACACCGACAACTGGGAAGCACTTGCCTGCAAGCGCTCCAGTTGGAGAACAGCCTTTACCAAAGGTGTCATGGACTTTGAAGACCCTCAAACTCAGAACGCAAGGGAGAAACGTGCTAAGAGGAAGGCACACGTGGCAAATCCACACCCTGATCAACTCCCACCCGGTAACCTATGTCCCCACTGTGGAAGGACGTGTGGATCCAGAATTGGCCTCCACAGTCACTTACGGACTAATTGTTAAAACCGTGTTTATGGAAGACAATCTTACTCGGCTACGAGTGATCGCCAAAGAAGAAGTCCCAAAACATCTGGAGGACCGAGTTTGCCTATGCCTGTTCTAAATCTTACTTGCTGTGCATAAACTGGCTAGTTGTCCCACTGGAAGAACTTATACTTCCTGTCTGGAGATTCAAATCAGTTCGACTGTTTTCTGCTTGCAAATGTATGTTTAGATTTTAAAAACACACACATCCTAGAAGGTCCCTCTGACTTGCTTCCTTGTACAGGTGATTTAACAGGACAGACTGTTACTGTAAAGTTTGTGACCAGCAGGTTTTACTGGCTATATTGGAGTCATTTCAAGGAAATGGTTTAGGACAAAGCAAATTCGGGGCCTATGTGATTCATTTGTGTTGGAGACAATTCACATCCCTTCTAACTCTGATTCTATGCGTGATGGGGAGAGGACTTCTTCATGCCACTTCCTTGATTACTGTTCATCTGGGTGGAAAATATAATTTATGAAGCAATTCTGAAAGCTCACCTAGATGAGCCTAATGTAAGTACAGGGTTGGTGGCTGCTGGGATAGCTCAGTCGGCAAAGCACAAGACACTTCATCTTGGGGTTGTGGGTTTGAGCACCACATAGGGAATAAGATTCCTGTGTTGCAGGTGTGGGTGGACTAGATGACCCCCATGGTCCCTTCCCACTTTTATAATTCTACGTGTGATGGAGAGAGGACTGAATCCAGGCAGGCATGCTATTTCATGTTTGGGGCATGCTTCTTGGCAGAGTTTAAGCCAAGCATAGATAAACTGTAGCCCTCTAGCTATTGTTGGGACTACAAATCCCATCATCTCTGATCGGTGGCAATGCTGGCTGGGACTGATGGAAACTGGAGTCCCACATCTAGAGGACCGCAGAATCCCCATCCCTAATTTAAACGAAAGAGTCTGAGTTAATCAAGGCAACATTCCCAAAAGAATGGTTCGTGAATATTCAGTTACTTTCAATACCTCGTATGAACTATATTATGGTTTATACATTAGCATTCTGTCTCCACCCACCCCCTACTTTGTTAAGCAATGGGTTGTTGTTTTTCCTTTTTGGCATGCACACTTAGTGCGCAGAGAGGATTTTTATCCACAATAGTCACAAAACAGCAGTGAACTGGCCCAATAATTGCATATGGGTTTGAAATGCAGTAGATGTGTGTGTTTAGTGGGAAGTGGTTAGCAATAGTAACCCCGCTTCCTCAATGCCACTGCCTGGATCCGGATGACTGGAAGGAGAAGAGTGTACTTTGCATCGAAGATCTGAGAAAAATGGTGATCTTCTGAAAAGAAGTCTCAGCTGCAAAAATACTCTGAAATCCCCGGTTTTTCAGTTGCATTAAGTTTCTGCTGATGCAAGTGGGAAGAGATGGGTGTTTCTACTTACCAGCCGTATTACTTATGCTTTGGGTTAACATTAGTGGAAAATTCCTGCAGTGTTTAGTGAGCCCTTCTTTCCTACCTGTTAGCAGAAAGCTGAAATGGAAAATTACCTGAGAGTGATTCAGTAGGCATGAGTCCAGCTGGGAGCAGAACCAAGGAGAACCTGCAGAGCTGAATTTTAGCCACACAATTCCTTGCATACATTTGTTTCAAGACTATATCATCTTACAATATGCTAAGGATTTTGTACACCTGCCTTATAGGACACACACTTGACATCTTGCCTGTTGGAGCCAAGCAGAAGCAAATTATTAAATTAAAATTAAAATTGCCTATAAGGCAGCGACAGCAGCAAACAAAATAATCCAGTGCTGGAGTTCTGGCTAGTCAAAATATGTTTAATTAGTATGAATGTATATATATATATATATGAAGGGCAGCTCTCATTCAGGACATTGAGCAGCCAATGTGGAGAGAAAACACTCAGAACTGGGAATCTGACAGCATCATAGGAAACACATCTGGCAAGTTGGGGGTGAAGAGGAGAAATTGATATGATTGATCTAGGTTTGGGATTCTAGGCGAGTCTGGGTTACTTAATCCCTATCAACGTCTTTTTACATCACCTACCATAATAAAACATTTGCATGGCTTAAATGTTTGAACTGCCTAAATGTTCTTCTTGAATTCTCCTTTCTGCCCCTGCCATTGGTAACGTAGCTGTCCTGTTTTGAGTCTGGCTGCCTCCCTTTAAAAAAATAAAATAAGCCCCAAGACTGCATGACAAAATTGTTTTTGAAGCAGAAGAAAAGCTGTAGGAGTTTCTTCATATGCGATCCCTTCTGCCTCTGCATATGTGACAAAAACGAAACAATGCAAATTACAGACGGGCAGAATTTGCGGCAGTTTCCATGACTGCAGCAGTACAGACATGCACACGGTATCTGGGTAATGAAAGTGCCTTCCCAGTTAAGTGTTACATTTATTTCTAGCAGTTTGAGATCCTGTTCCTAAGGACAGTTAGAACAGGCATAGGCAGACTCTGCCCTCCAGATGTTTTGTGACTACAATTCCCATCATCCCTGACCACTGGTCCTGTTAGCTAGGGATCATGGGAGTTGTAGTCCCAAAATATCTGTAGGTCCGAGTTTGCCTATGCCTGGGTTAGAACTTACAGAAAGGGGAACCTTGTGAATGATCTTGCACGTCTCAACCAGCCCCTAGTGTGTTTCAGATGTACTGTCTGTCGTACTGCTGCCTCTAGACACCACTTTACCAAGGTAAAGTTGTGATCCATGTTTGTTCCAGTCACCATGGCAGAAAAATCTGTGGTATGGCTGTGATTAGAAGTTTTGTGTAAACGCGCCCCCATGTGGTGAACGCATGCATTTCAGGCAGAAGACAGAATTTGCTGTTTCCAAAATATAATCCAGTGTGTTTAGCCTTGACAGCAACATATAACAAATAGAACGAATTGTGCTGCTGTTTTGCTTTCTCTTTCTCCCCCTTTAAAAACTGGTTAAGTTCACATTCTAGGACAGTATTTCCCAACTTAAGCAGTTTTGATATCTAGGGCACAGTGGATTTTCCTCCTAAGTGAAAATTGGATGCCTACCTAGTAGTAGTAGTAGTAACAACAACAACAACAACAACGCATTTTCTACAGAATGCAAAGACTTGGCAAATTAGCAAAATATAAAAATATATTTCCAAAAACAACATCACTACAAAATATTGTCGTTACAATATGATCCTGATGACTGAAAAACTACCATCGTTCTTATTGGAAGACGATTTACCTGCTTAGATTTTTGGTACACATTCCTCAGGCTAAAAATGTTAATAGCAATGGTTCTGATACATGCACCTCACTTTTGAATGGTCTTGCAACAGAAGACACCATTTCCTCTTAAGCATGTACATTCCCTTATTACCTGCTTAAAAAATAAGGTTGCATGTTAAAGCATGCACTCAAATATGCATAAAGGGGTAAGAATATAATAATTTCCGCTTTAAATGAATGCCGCTCTTTGAGCACTTAAGGACTAAGACAGGGCTAAGACACAACTTGAGTGGAGAATCTTCTGTGCATACACAGATATTCTTGTTTAGACAGGTGAACATCAAGCCTGGGAGCGGCTGGTTTTCTGTTTTCAGGAGAAGCTGCCCGTACTTTATTTGGTGCAGAAATGACATTTAAATGCAAGGGGGGGGGAGGCACGCTCCGAGAGTGTATTTAAAAGCATTGCCACGTTGGAAATGAAACTATTATGCTCTACACAAATCTGCAAAGCAGTGTCGTGGTTCCCATGGCCATGGTGTCTGCTCTCATAGGATCACACCAACAGCCAGAAGAAATGATGTTATGCATTTGCTTCTATTTCCATGGGGCCAAGGCTGACATTTTGCAATTTGATTTATATTGTCGGCATCATCATTTATTAAATTTGCATACTGTCCTTCATCCAAAGATCTCAGGGTGGCTCACAGTATGAAAATGCAGAATAGAACCACAAAGTACATAATAAAAACAAGAACAAAACCAGTAACACTGCCTCCCACAAACACATTTAAAGGACATAGAGTGTTAATCAGCCTAATACCTTGTTTAAGAGGAATGTTTTTGCCTGGCGCCTCAGAAATGCTGGGGAGAATATTTCCAGTGTGAGTAACGCATGGTCTTCTCCTTTCCTTTTTTTAATGTAGGGAAATCTTTATTTCTGTTTCAATGTTGTCGTCTTTTGTGCAGTAAGAATTTGTCTGCATACTTCTGCATTTCCACTCATTCATCTGCTGATGTCTCAACAAGAGAGTTTGGGTTTCTAACTTTAAAGCATTTAAGAGCTGAACAGCAAAATGAGGCTCATCTCACTTACGGTTTTAATAACGCAATATTGCTCACACGTGTTACAAGGCTCAGGTTAGATTTTGCCCGATTGCTCCTTGCTCCCGTTGGCTGGCACAAAATGTTCCCCCCTCTTCCCTTGGAAGTGGGCGCTCTGCTTCTTGGCAGGGTAGGAGGAGTGGCAGCCACCCAAACTAGTTTGTACCAGCAGCTAATAAAACAAACTGGAATAGAGTTTCAGAAGAAAGCACCAGTTTTCCCTTTTCGAGTTCTGCTCCAAATGTCCCAGGCCATATGCTTCCACCGTCCGTTCTTCACACGGGTCTATGCTCTGCTGTAGACTTTAAAAAATGGGTCCAGCTTTTCATAACTCAAAGGGATAAATCTGGTGCCAGATCTTGGGCTTCATCTGAAAGTACAGATGGGAGAAAGAGGTGTTTGCCAGATAAGTTTTCCGCCACAGCTGCTCAGGCCTGAGATGCTAAAAGGCAGGTAGAGCTGAGAAATGTGAACTTCAACATCAGAGAATTGTGTATACAAATAAAAAACCCAAAGCCCTTTCCACAGCAGCTAGCCTGGTTTTGTAGAGACAAATGGTGGTCTGACTATTCGCTTTTAGTGGTGGTGAAGAGAAGTTGAGCTTTTTAAAATTTTGTGTGACTTTGCTTCCTCCTGTTTCTGCTTTGCCCTTACAAGCAACAATCTGGGAAATAAGGGGTAAGTAGTGACACAGGGACACGGGTGGCGCTGTGGATTAAACCACAGAGCCTAGGACTTGCCGATCGGTGGTTCGAATCCCCGCGATGGGGTGAGCTCCCGTTGCTCGATCCCTGCTCCTGCCAACCTAGCAATTCGAAAGCATGTCAAAGTGCAAGTAGATAAATAGGTACCGCTCCGGCGGGAAGGTAAACGGCGTTTCCGTGCGCTGCTCTGGTTCTCCAGAAGCGGCTTAGTCCTGCTGACCACATGATCCGGAAGCTGTATGCCGGCTCCCTTGGCCAATAAATCGAGATGAGCGCCACGACTGGACCTAATGGTCAGGGGTCCCTTCACCTTTAGTGACACAGGAGCAGAGCAGGAACAGAGAGCCCCAAAGGTTGTAGCCTTTCCTCATGGGGAATTGCTCCATTCCCTTGATCATTTTGCTTTGCCCTTTTCTAAACCCTTTCGATTTCTACAACATCCTTGTGGAGCTGAGGTGACCTGAAGGGTACACAGTGTTCCAAGTGTGGTTGCACTGTAGATTTTTATAATGGCCTTTATGATATTGGCAGCTTTGTTTTCATTCCTTTCCTAATGACCCCTAGCAGGGAATCTGCCTCTCCCCACAGCTGCCTCACACTGGGGCAGTGCAAACAGTTCCACTATGTAAAA